AATATTTAGTGAACTAATGTTTGGCTAAGCCAATTTTGGAAATCAATATTATACAGGCAGGCCAGTTTCTAAATAGTGGGAGAAAAAAAAGATTAAAAAATGAAGGATTCATTTGGGAAACGAGCCCTAAACAGTTTCATGTTTTTTCTTTTATCTTATTTTTTTTAGAATTTTTTGGGACTTTGAAGAGCCAGACTGAGTTTTGTTACAATAAATACATTACAACAAGAATTGGGTCAATATAAAACAACTACCATCGAATGTGCTAACAATTCTTGATTTTCAAGGCCTGCATTTATTCCCTAGTGATCAGGATTAAGATCTTTCAAGTGAGGGGTTCAACAATTCCTTCATGTGATTCTCAACTCTCTTGCGGACCGAAGGGGAGGGCAGCCGCTCAATCACCTCGGCTCCAAAAGACAATATCAGAGCCTTCCTCGCGGTCTCTAGGTCGATGCCACGAGCCTGGAAGTAGAAGAGTTGGGTCTCCTCCAGGTCGCTTATAGCAGCCCCATGCGAACACTTGACATCATCAGCAATGATTTGAAGATTCGGTTTCACGTTCACGGTTGCTCGAGGCTCGAGAAGAAGACTCCTTGTTAGTTGTCCTGCATCCGTCTGTTGAGCGTATCTAGAAAATTCAAGTTCTAGGATTAGGGAACAAAACATTTGTCGAAAAAGTGACAAGACCATCATCCAGTAGTTAGCAATATGAGAATGAAAACGAGCAAAGCAGAACCCCAAATGGAAGACAAGAAACGAACTATGAATACAATCGTTCTCATATTACTAAACTTTTCCCATGATTGATTATGGTGACAGAGAACAGATTCTACTACTCGGTACTTACATCCCAGAAACTTTTCAGACATTTTTCGTCATCTCATCTTATAACAGAAGAAAACTTCTAAATTATGCTAAAGTTAAACCAACTTCCCTGTCAACTTTCCTGGTGGAATTCATCAGTTAAAGAAAGATATTGTCTTTTCTTCTTGGTCTTATCTACGTCTTAGAGAGATTTTCGATCATGAAGTGAAGTAGAATGGACAATGGATTATGCGTAATTATACGATAGATGACGAACTTGCGTGGAGGTAATTCAATCTATGATGAACAAGTTTATGGTACCCTTCAAAAAACAAAAAAAAAAAAACCAAGGGACTGGGGAACAGAACTGCTTATTTTCATCTAAGAAGGGGAGAAAGAAACAAAGAAGTACCTGTTGACTTTTACATTACCATCAAATACAGCTTGTCCTAGGGGATTGGCGACGATACATTTGTGAAGTTGTCGAGAATATCCTCGTGGATGGTCGAGCACTAAGCTACTATGTAGATCTTGTGTTTGATTGCCAACTGATAAGTGCAGAGTTGACAATTCTGTTGTAGTTTCTGGTCCTAATTGCTGGATATGCACATTGTGTCTACTTAATTTTCCACCTGTGCTTATCTCGACAAGCTCGTAGGAACTGGTTGCATCCTGTAATTACTCAGATAATCATTCATGTGCCACACTCGAACTTTCGAGGGCCAGAGTATAAGACATAAAACGTCAGACAGCAAATAACAATCAGATCAAGCAGCATCCTAATGGTTAAAAGGGCATGTGTAAATCTCTCTCTCGATTATCATAGATGCATAAGAGCAAGAGACATAAAATTCCAATGGAGGTTCTTTAAGTAAGTTTTAAAGTATATAACAAATTGACATGAAAATCAAGAAAATTTCACTAGTAAGTGATAAGCTGTCCGATTTGGGCTAGGGAAACCAACTGAATCCCCTTCTCGTGACATAATCGAAGTTCGACCCACTACTCTACGGAAAGAGATGAGATAGCCTACCTATCTTTATACACATTCGACAAATCACTCATGACGGACAAGAGATGTCAACAAGATGAGCTTTACTATCTGGCTTTTGCCCTCGTGGTGTATGTACTTTTAACTTTTTCGAAGGAGAAAAAAACTCAGGTTTAAGTGGAGAAAAATGAACATATAAACTAAGTTACATCAGCAGAAGTTAAGCTCGGAAGACGGAAAGAGAAGAGGCTTCAAACTCATAATCTACTATCCCAAAAGTCTTGCCAACTACATCTAAGTTACTTATTGGCTAAACTCGTAAGCTACTAGCTCAAAAGAAGTCCTAGAACTTTTCATCATAAGGGGAGGAGAAACAGCAACCAATACAATCGAAAGACCAATATCTTCAACAAAACAATGCTATAACTACTGTCTACTGTTTTGCACTTGATATAAGCAAAGATTACTCCTAAAAGATGCTAACCTACGTAGGATCGCTGACCATCAAAGTAAATCCAACATTAGGAGTAAGATTCCCAAACAAGGTTGTAAAAATTGGGAAATATACTCCTGATTTCTCTCTGCATTTCAAGTTCAACTACCGACAGAATTTACCAGTTCAGAGCTTGAGATTCCATCTCGATTCAAGTCCCAGACTCAAAAAACTTAGAGCCATTTGATAATCATTTCATTCTTAGTTTTATGTTTTAAAAGTTATTCTTGATCTCACATAATTCCATCTAACCCTTTGTATGTTTTTTCACTTTCCTTAAACACACATTTGAATTCTTAGCTAAATTTAAAAAATAAAACAAATTTTCAGAAACTACTTTTTTCAGTTTTCAAAACCCAACTTAGATTGTGTAACAAAACAAGATACCGTGGTGTTCCTAAGCTTAATTTTTAAAAACAGAAACTAAAAGTAAAATGTTACTAAATGGGGACCTTAATAACTTAAAACATTGTCTCCAACTCTCTGGAAGCTGAGATATGCGAAGTCATGAGGGAGCGGAGCACCCAACAACGCGATTAGCAAAACTACCAACTAAATATAGGTAATGGAATAAGACATACCTGCTGAACAGAAGTCCATTTGATATGTGCAGCATCTAAAGACTGGTTCTGAATATAAGAATGCTGAACTTTTCCACCACTTCCAATCACTACTTCCAGAACAGGATTTGCCCAGTAGTACTTACTCTCATCCACACTCAAAAACTCCTCAACGATCTCAATCTCCCCCCCATTCTCCACCAAAACCAACACTCTCGGATTCGAAACAGCCAAGTCCTTCGACCCCTCCTCCCCCCCATTAATCGAAAAATACCTCAAATGGATCGGATTCTCCACCTTACACCCAGCAGGGACATACACCACAGTCAAATCTGGAGCTCCCACGCCATTAATGGACCAAAACAGGTCCCCGACGAACTTCCCACCAACAAACTGAGAAACCCTATTCGCTACACTCTCCGGAGGGAGGTCAAGCAAGCTGCCCACGAAAACCCCATTTGGCAATTCTGCCAAATTGGAAATCGAATGGATGAAATGACCATCAACGATTACGATATTGGCGAATTGGGTTTCTACAGGGATGCTCGATATCTGGGAGGACTGCGGCGGATTCGAAATTGGGTGGATTTGGGACTGCTTTATGAAAGAAACATCCGTGAAACGGAAGGGCTCGTCCCGGCGAGACGGCCATGGGGTCGAAAGAAGAGTCTCGGCGGACGATTCCCTGAGTTTCTGGAGAGGGAATGGCGGGGAGGAAGAAGAAGAGGAAGGGAGCGAGTCTTCGAGAGATTCGGCGAGTTGGAGGACGAAGGGGTCGGAGAACGTAGATGGGGAGGCTTGAAGAGAGACTTTGGGGCTGGAAGCTGAATTGAATTTGAATTTGCGTTTTGAAGAAGTGGGAATTGAGGGAGATGGGAGCCTCCCAATATGGGGAGTGAATGTGAAGGTAGCCATGAGAGAAGCTTGTGCTTCCAATACTGAGACTCATCGGCTCCATTTGATTTGCTGCTGCTAATCATCCAGTTTCGGTCTCTGTGTTTGATTTGGGCCTTTGGGCTGTCTCAAGAATCTGATCCAAATTTAACCATTTACTCATATTCCTACCACCACTCACCACTTACCGCTTCATTTTTAGTATTTTCAAATCTTAAATTTTGTTGGGTACAACGATTTCGATACCTTAACGAATTGAATCATGTTAAATTTTAGATAGGTGACTATTATATTTTGAATTCAAACTCTCTAAATTCTTTGAATTTATTTGGCTCTTTTGGACCAATGGACCAACTCATAATGGTCCTAATTTTGCTTTCATTCATACATGAAACGTTTCTAAACTTGTGTATAAATTATGAAAACAACGTAATCAATTATTTTACTTTTTATTTTTGTTTTATTTATTTTTTTTTCAAAACATAAATAAAAGCATTATTTTATCATTATTGACTTAAAAATCACAATAAATATAAAAATATATATAAATATAAGATAAAAATCTTAAATATTTAATTTAAATTTCAAACACAATTCTTTTTCTATTTATTTTAAAAAAATAGAAACGAAAAGATTAGCCCTCTTAATTATCACTGCTGAATTGTTTGTAACATTTCTAAAAATTTATAATTCCTCTCTGCCCCACACCAACTTTCTATAGTATTATTTCTGCTTTACTAGAGTTTGATTTGACAATGTTTTTTCTTTTATGGCATTCTTTATTTTGGTTAAAAAGAAAAAGGGAAATGAAAAAGTTGTTTTCAGATTGGGGTGTTCACATTTTAGGACATGTTAAAATAATACCAAGTATTATTAGGATTCTTCTTCATAATGGAATGGTTTATCCAAACCTCTAAAAGCTCTTTTCTTCTTAGCCTTTAAATCTAAATGCCTTCTGCAGAATATTGCTGACTCAGTTGTACCTTAAAACAATTCAAAGGTTGTCTTTCTCCTTTTTCTTTTTTTTTTTACACAATCTTTTTTCCCCTTTTGATTACGACGTCGGGCGTTCATTAAAGACATGTTTGTCTCATGATGTAGGTCTAGAATAAGATTGTGAAGTCAAATCTTCTATTTAGTATGTAAGCAAGATTTTTTAATCGATTGATTGTCTAGACTGTAGCAGAACCATCCACTAAAAGTTTCCTTTTTTTAGTATTTACTCTAGTTAATTTGAAATTTTGCTTCGTACGGGTGTTTTTGTTAGAAAGTTCTTTGAGTATATTGATCGCTTATAGGCTTCATAAACCTGTGTTTTTGTAAGGTGTTGTTCAGCACAATCGAAATATATGCTACTGTTGGAAAAATTTCTCTTGAAAATAGAGCAACTTGGTTCAATCCAGTCTAAGACTTAGGATGAATCAAATCATGGTTCAGTAGCAACAAAAGAAAATATAATATAGAAATAGAAAAGCTTAACACCAAAATTTATACCGATTCGCTCCAAACTTGACTACTTGACTCTCTAGGGAACGGTTGTTTGAGTTCTTTTTGTTGTATATCTCTCTCATACCTCAAAAAAGAACAATTGTCGCACTTTTCTCTCTTTCACTTCTCCCGATGGCTACTAGCAGATCAATAGCTCACATCTAAGCAAAGAGAAAATCATCGTATAAATAGGAAACACCTATGATCTTATACTTATAACATGGTGATATGATGTTCTGGAATCGGAAGACGCTTCAAATTATAGGCGCCACGAAGCTCTAAAAATTTTCAAAATGAGTACAGTACTTAACTTGAAGATTTTTGTCTCCTTTTAACTGGTTGTGGTTATTTCTTTAGACATTGAATTCAAACAACAAAACCAGAGGGAATTCTGAAACTGAAATTAGTTAAAAAAAATCCTTCGATGAGAAATCAAGAGTGAAGAGTTACAATATGCCACACATAAAGCCTCTAGAAAGAAAACCAAAAACATTTATGCTACGAAACACCTCTCTGGCTCAACCAATAAAAGAGATATCACCAGGGACTACAAACTAATACTCTGCTTACTAATTATACTTTTACACCAAATAAATTATGCTTAACATTTTGGAATCGCACTCCCTTTACTCTCGCATCGAAGACCGACAATAAAAGGCGTTGGCTTCGGGATCCCGTCGAGATTAAACAATATTAAGTGTTCATCGGTACCTTTTTTGCATCCACAAGAGCCAAGACGATGTTCAGAAACAATTTGGATACCTTTGTGAATTGTTGAGGTCAAAACCTCTAAGATTTTCTTCGAGCTCAATGTCGCCGGTAAAATTCGAGTAGGATGAACTTGGAGATATCTCTGTGTGCTCATACGACTGCCCGTAAAATTCGTACTGTGGAAAACATATTGACATAGCTCCTTGCATTTCAGGATAATCCTGCAACAACCCAACCAACAACTTCTTGAGAAATTCATATGTTACGGTTTGTTGGATGCGTTTTTGTTTCTTGTTTTTTTCGGTTAACATCTCAACGAGAACAAAAACTTCACTTTCATACCTTGGATGAGTCAAGAATGAGATCAGGTGAGATCCATATTTTCTCAGGATCAGTCTCCATAATGCTGGTTCCATACCGAGACATCGGATTCGTGTCGTAAGCACTCGTCATCAGGCTCGACAAATTGTTGAGAGATGAATTGTCATCCAAATCAATTACATTCGACAATTCATTCGAAACAAGAGATCTCGTGGATGTAGATTCCTCACTGACGACATTACCTTTGGGTTCTCGACGGTTGTCCTTGTTGTGCGATGGTTCATTCCTCTTCACAATACGACACAGAGAAAAAGCGCCCTGAAAGAAACAGAACAGAGCAAAAACAGAGGGTATGAAACTGAATAGCGCAAGATTGTGAATTGCCAATTGGTGGTTCAAAAAACTCAAATAATATGACCTTAAAAGTTGGAGTGGGTTGAGAGAAATCGTTGCAGAGGCGATACTCGTGCATGACCCAGTCCATTCGATCGCCAAGCGGGGCTCGGCCGCGATAGAAAACGAGGGTCTTTCGAAATCCCATTACAGAGGAAGAAGGAGAAGAAGATTGGCAGGTGATTTTCCTGTCTTTGCCAGTGGCTTTCCAGTACCCAGATTTGGTGGCTCTGTTGGTTCTCGATCCATTTGGGTATTTTCGATCGCGTGGGCAGAAGAAGAACCACTCCATGTCTCGTTTTGGAAGGAAAGATTTCTCTGTTACAGATTCACAAACAAACAACTAAGAAACAGAGTGAAAAAAAAAACAGAGCAGAGTAGAACAGAGGGCTTAAAATGGGGTACCTGGGAGCTCCCATGGGTCGAATTTGTACAAATCAATGACTGGAATGACTTCGAGTTCAATTGGAAGGCTTTCGATTTTCCTTTTCAGATAATAACCCACCAATTCTTCATCTGTTGGGTGGAACCTGAAGCCTGGTGGAAGCGACCCACCTCCCATTTTGTTTGTTTTGCCACTCCAAGAACAAAACGAAAACGATTCGAGAAACAACAAACACAACACACGAGGGAATTGGCAAAATCAGGTGGGTTTTGGTGTATGGAGAACTAAGTATTGAAGGTGTTTCTATTAAAGATTTGGAAGATCCAGAAGTAGAAGCTCTTATCGACGATGATTTTCTTGTCAAAAACAGAGCCAAACTTCCACAGGCCGATGCACCTGTTTTGTCCAAGAATCATTGTCTGTAAAAATGCGAGTTCTCTTAAATTGACGAATCCCCCTTCCCCCTTTAATCCCAAATCAATAATTTTGAAGAAATGAGCTCAGAAATGGGGTTGGGAATGTGGTGCTATCTGTGACGAAAACAGTGAAGTTTTGAAGTTTTGAAATGGGGAAGGAGGGAAGATTTCCCAGAAATGGAATGGACTAAAGTTTTAGAGAGAGATGGGTTTTAAGAGTGTAAAAACAGAAGGAAAAATGTGGGGTTTATAAATAGGCGTTTGGACTTGGAGAGAAGAAACAGTCCAAAGGATACGCCGAAAGTTTGAGATAACTTGTCCTAAGCACACCAAAAATTCCAATGTTGCTGGCCCCACCTCCTTTTAACTCCAACCCTTTTCACACTCATAACTCATTTTTAAGTATAGGGTTGGTGGTTTGAAATCTCACTCGAATATTCTTCGACGCAAGTTATTTACAATATTTGTAGGAAAAATATAAATAAAGTCTGAGAAAGGATGTGATCCTAAGTTTATAAAAGCGGACAATATCATACTACTATGAAGATACTTGGAATATTTGGGGTACCGTTATCCTTAACAGAGCATTGCTATACATATCGCCTCTTGAATTGAGCATGATCCATAGTATATAGATAAGGACAATTATCTCTATTTGTATGAGATCTTTTGGGTGAAATCAAAACTAAAGTTATGCTCAAAGCCAACAATATCACACTTTGTAGAGATACTTATGGTACTTGAAGTACATGGCCTTCGAGTACTATTTATCTGATATGAGGTTCATTTACAAGTCCATAATGATTATAAGATTTACCAGATTTTGCTTGTAATTATTGCAACTCTAACATAAAGTTTAAGTTTAAATTGTGACTTTAACGAATGACTAAATGCTCAGGAATTGATGACCGTTCAAATGGGAGAGTAGAGAAATCTAGTGGCCATGTGAGAGGAAGGAAGCGGTCGTCGAATCATCTCGTTTTCATTTAAATTTACATCCCCATACCAGAGTTTAAAAGAATGGATTCAAAATTTGGAGGGAACAAAATTGGATATAAAATAGAATAGTTTTTGGGTTTCGAAGAATTTAGTTTTATACCAATAAATGGAATGTATGAGAGAAAGTACACCATGTTTTGAAGAATACTATCATAGTTTATACTCCTAATAGCTAAAAATATCCTCCACTTGAACTATGTTGTTGGCTAGCAAATGCTTGTTACTTTGGGTTATGTCCCATAAATACCCTCATAAACATTGCATAATTTGGAGTTAATTAGGGGGTGTTTGGGGATTTACAAAAAGAAAAAGGATCCAAAAAAGGAGTTGTTGAACACTTTTTGGGGAGTGTGATTTGGAGAGATGGGTGGCCCTTCAAATGACGCTGCTTCAAAAGCTTACCAAGAGGCAAAGCTATTTTGTCTGACTAGAGAATGATGTGGACTGAACTTACACTGCAAGTACAGAACCTCAAAATAAAAAAAAATAATAATAAAATAAAAAAATAGGAAAGCCCAAAAAAGGAAAAAGGAAAAAAAAAAGTTACCAAACAGCTTAAATATTAACGTACAAGGTTTAAATCTCAATTTTATGAAAATATCGAATAAAATGTAAATGAATAATATCAAAAGATAATTCTCAAAAAATTATAAAAATAAAATTCATAATAAATATTTAAATTAAAAATAAAGACTTTAATATATTTTTATATTTTTAAATTAGTTGAAAATTATTAATATTAATATTATATTTATAATAGTGTTTCTTTTCGTTATATTTTGTCAATTTTGTACAATCCCCTTGATGTTCGTGTTACCATGTAAAAATATTGATGAAAATGCGAACATATTGACGAAAACTTATTACTTGAATATTTTCTTTTCTTTTTTTTAAGCATTTCCATCTATTTTTAGAGATAAACATTGGAATTAAACTAAAAATTAACTTGATAAGGCAAATAAGAAATGAAAGGTG